AGACCAAGTAGCATCTTAAAGGAAAAATCACAGAAAGTGCCTCATAATAGTAGCTCTCGTCTTGGAAGATCTGCCTCAATGTACAGCAATAACATCATATATATTGGGACCAAATTCTGGAGTATTTTTCATAAACAATAAGCTACATCTTAATGACAAGCATATTTGGAATTTTAGTTTTCTAAGCACCTCACAGGCAAATCCAACCTGGTGGCCTTCTATGATGGAGTGATTACTTCAGTGGACAAGGGAAAGGCTACACATGTCATTTATCTGGATGTAAGGCCTTTGACACAGCCCCCCACAACCTCCTTCTCTCTAAATTGGAGATATATGTATTTGATTGGTGGACCGTTTGGTGGTGAGGAGTAGGTTGCACAGTTGCATCCAGAGGGTAGCGGTCAACAGCTCAATGTCCTGATGGGCATAGGTGACAAATGGTGTCTCTAAGGTGTCCTTATTGGACCTGTAATGTTTAATACCTTCATTGATGACATACACAGTGAGATGGAGCGCACCTTCAGCAAATGTGCAGATGACACCAAGTCAAGTGGTGCAGTTGGCACACTTGGAAGATGGGATGCTATCCAGAGGGACCTGGACAAGCTCAAGAAGTGGGCCCATAGGAACCTCATGAGGTTCAACAAAGGCAAGGGCAAGGTGCTGCACCTGTGGTGGTGTAACCCCCAGTATTAATACAAGTGGGGGATGAACAGACCAAGAGCAGCCCTGCTGAGAAGGACTTGGGGGTGCTGGTGGATGAGAGGCTGGGCAGGAGCTGGCAATGTGTGCTTGCAGCCCAGAAAGCCACTTGTGTCCTGGGTTGCATCAAAGGAATTGTGGCCAGCAGGTCAAGGGAGATGATTCTGCCTCTCTATTCCATTCTTATTAGACCCCACTTGGAGTACCATGTTTGGCTCTGGGGTCTCTAGCACAGGAAAGACATGAATCTGTTGGAGCAGGTCCAGAGGAGGGCCATGAAGATGATCCAGAGGGCTGGAACACCTCTCCTAGGAAGACAGGCTGAGGGGGTTGGGGTTGTTCAGCATGGAGAAGAGAAGGCTCTGTGGAGACCTTGTTGCAGTCTTTCAGTACATGAAGGGTGCCTTCGAAGGTGGGGAAAAACTTTTTAACAGGGCCTATTGCAACAGGACAAGGGGTAATGATTTTGAACTGAAGAAGGGTAGATTCAGATTAGATGTAAGGAAGGTTTTCAATGAGAGTGGAGAAACACTGGAACAGGTTGTCCAGACTAATGGTAAATGCCCCATGCCTGGGAACATTCAAGGTCAGGTTTGATGATGCTCTGAGCAACTTGATCTAGTTGAACATGTCCTTACTCATTGCAAGGGGGTTGAACCGGAGATGACCTTTAAGTGTCCCTTCCAACCCAAACTATTCTATGATTCTATAACTATAATAACAATATTTTCAAGTAGCCATTTTTACCAACGAGCTTAACAGACTTTTTTGTCCAAAGAATTTATCCCATAACAGCTTCTCATTTCAGCAAAAGCTCCACTCTAAAAAGAAGAATGGGAAATATGGTGGAGATTAAAAAAAAAAAAAAAGAAAAAAACCCCAAAAACCAAACCAAATGAAAAAAAGCTTTCTTGGTTTTGCAAAGACGTCCATAAGTTTTTACTTTGCTAAATTTTGACAACATGCACTGATGCTCCACCTTGGGGATTTCTATATAGATTTAGATCTCTATTTTAGATTATAAACAAAACCTAGATATTCGAGATTAATAGAACTAGATGTAAATCTCATTAGTACACCTTGATTCTGTCAAGTACAGTATTTCTAATGCAAGTCTTTTTATTAATATTAATTATTTATTAATGGTAGACATTAATGCTTTCTGCCATTTTAAGTTGTTACATTGTTACAGATGGCACACATAATTGATTCAATACCTAATAATCCTCAGGTTAACAGTCAGTAACCACATTAGCTTGGGAAGAACAATTATCATCAGAGTGATGGAATTTTTTTCCAGTATAGTCACTTCTGGCTTTTTAAAGGCATATAGCATACACTGTTGATCTCAATGGTGTGGAAGACATTGGATATATATATAAAAGACCAACGATCCATCAGGTCATAAGTTTTTTGGAACTAGTGCCACACAAGCTATCATGATTTTCTATCTTCATTTAGCATATTTATTAATCAATCTTTGTAGGCCATTACTTATATATCATTACAGTGGACAATTAGACTCATTGTCCTTCCAGCCCACACAAACAACTGTGAGGATGCACATATACCACCAAACAACACAGATTTCTAGCCTGATAAGGAGTCATGTTTCAGGGGCTATCTGTGTCTCTTTCTTTGAGGAAAAAGAAAGTGTTTACTCAGACACAACTGAGGTGAGGTTGTGGGGACTTTCTTCAGCTTTTCATTCCAAGGGACAGTGTGAATAAGGCAGCACCATTTAACATCACCTTCTACCAGGACCAGCTCCCCTGTTAAAGTTGACTACTGCTGTCACACCACCATTATGCCATAAACCACCAGTCTGGTGGGCTGTGACTTAGTCTTCTCTCTATTTAAGATTATAAACTGAACTTCTCCCCTTCTGTCCACACCCAATGCTCATATAAGTAAGTCTGGGAGTGGCAGAGGTACCCTATGTAGTCTGGGGGAGACCAACAAGTACACAACAGAAACACCATCAAGTCATTCTAAAAGGGATTAATGTGAATGCTGTGGACTTGAGGCACTCTGGACCTCTTTATTCTGCAAGTTAGAGATCAATCTCTAACCAAGGATTCATTATTGTAGGTTCAACTTGTTATTTCCTCTTTCAGTGCACAACTTTGTAACACTAAGCTATGCAGCTTTGATGCTGTTGCACTAGAGCCTGATAGCGCCAAACTGTAGCCATTACTATAAAAACAGATATCCTCACCATGACAAGATTTGGTTTTAAACTAAATATGCATCTGTTTTTCTTCCCTATGTCACATAACAAATTTAAATTTGTTATTGCCTTTTTGTATTAATAGTTGTTTGGTGTTTCAATTCTTCTTTCCTCTTCTGGTTTAGTATAATCTATATGTTTTATAAATATATGGCATTTTTTTGCAAGAAATAACTACATAACATAAGCAAGGGTACCGACAACCGATGTTGCCCACAATGGATCCTGCTTCCTATAATCAGTGCACTCTCATTGATCATTCAGTAGTTTTTGGTTACTGCTTGTCAGTTTTTCATCCATCGAAGGGCATTTAAGTCAATTGGAATTACATTTTTAAGGATATTTCATATGATCTGATAGAAAATGAAAAATTTTTAATCTAAATAACTTTGCCTCCCAACTACAATAAAGTGATCAAATGAAATAGAGGCCACTGCTTTTCCTCTGTGTAGTTCCCCTAGCTTTTTAGTGACTAAACAAGTGAATTGGTTCAAACTTACGAATTCGTCATACTAAAAACTGACCTTAAATTTCTGGAAAGAACATTATACATAATATAATATTTGGTAACTTTTGACTTCTCAGTTTTCAGGTACTTCTTACCTTATCCAAACACAAGACTGCCACATCCATTTTACTGAAATGTTTCACCTTGTTAAAACCATGCAAAAGTTCACAAAATTTTAGGAGTTAAGTCCTCCGATTCAAAGAAAATTTATTTCCAGTGATCTGGTCTTATAATTATAGGTGTATGGAATATCTGTGAACCTTGTTTAGTGCAAAGAGTTTATACCTGCAGTCTCAAGTTTCATTTTTAATATGGTGAAAAAAATGTTTTGAAAAAAGACAGATCAAGCATGGAAAAATCCAAACCAGAAATTTAAGTCTGGTAAAACTATAAGCTACAGGAAGAAGACTTTAATAATGGAAAGCATTAGGCAACTTTATTTCCTTTCTAGCTTGCCTAAAATTATTCTGTCAGAAGCAATTTGCCTATTCTCCTTCAATACATATGCTTTAGGGAAGAAGGAACAATTATTTTATAAAATGCAATAACACCAGACCATATTTCTGGAGGATGTGATTACACTATTTTAGAAGCATTGCAACACAGTCAGAGACAATTACCTGAAGTCAAATTTGGTCTGCACATTAGTAGTTGTTACTTCTGAAAGAACCTTATGAAAGGTGAAATAGAATGTCAAAACTCCAAGTGATCAAACATCAGATTTATAACTTTACCAAGAGAAGAAACTTTATACAATATTCTCTTAACACAACCATTTACCTCTTTTTGCCTTCACCAACCAGTCCTATGAATCATCTCAACCAATCAACTGACCTACCAACCAAGCACTGACCAGTCTTCACTGTGCCTTGTCCTTTTTCATGGTGAGAGAAGACAAAGTACTATGGTTATAATATAATAAGTTTTTTCTGTAATGCTAACAGTGATCAACATACTCAAAGAGCAGTCATCTGACCAGTAATGGAAGAAAGAAACAGTACACCTGCCTCATTGTACCAGGCAGGCACCAAATATCTCACAAAATCTCACCAAATATCTCACAAAAGGAAGAGGCTTGTAACACCATTTCCCTTTGTCATTATTTAAGATTCAAAAAGTGCAATAGCAAGATGTGTGGCAATGCCCATCTAATCTCTTGAGTTGCCCAGCTCCTCTGTCATTTAGGATCCCTGTAAGCCATAGCTCTGAATATTAAGCAAAGTCTTTGCTCGTATTTTGTAACCACTCTTGCCTTGCCCTGGCACAGTGCCATTTAAGCATATTTCTTAGAAACTGTTCCCATTGTCCTAGTCTGTTTTTTTTTTTTTCTGAAAATGCTCCTTGAATAAAATGTTTTGGCTTAGAGACAGGTATGTATCTGCTCTTCCTCTGCAGTTACCCCTATTTATAACCCAGGTGTTAGCAGCTGCGTTCTTGGAGTCATCAGCCACAGCTACCTTAAATAATCTGCAGGTCTGAAAATATATTGCTTCACTGAATTTGCTGGCAAGGGAAGACTGATGGTAGGGTGGACAGTCAACACAAGTGCTTTATTTCAGACTTGCTCCATTTTGCCTGCTAATTCTTCTTTCTTATAACCTGTCTCCAGGGAGGAATAAAATGCAAATCTTTTCTTCAATAGACTGCAGATGACACTGCAATAGGAAAGAAAATTTCCTATTGTGACCAAGTACCATAATTGAATGATCTCTGGAAGTTTATTCATTTATATGAGACAAACTAATAGTTTAATTTAACTTGTAAAAGGTCAATCTAACTGATTAAAAAAAAATTGAAAAATCCAATAACTGGCTTCAGGCCAGCTAAATTTACAACTTCCTTTTACAAAAGCAAGTTCTACGTACACCAAAATTTTAATTAAAACCAAATATGTTTTTTAATATAAGTTAGTGATATAAATTATTTACAACACTTAGAAAAACTGATGGGTTTATAACTTGCTGTTAAGTGATCTTTTGGTGATCCTTCTCCAGGTATATCAGTTCTCTTAAATTGCTGGCTGTTAGCTATAAGTTCTATAAGAGAAATGCTTAAATAGTAGTATAAAAATGTCTGTAATAAAACCAGAAGCTCTGAATTTCATGGTACTTTAATGCTGCCTCTGAAGTAATGGAAAAGCCATTTTCCAGCACTTGCTTCAAGGACTCCACTAATAACATTTTTCACAAAGGACCTATCTTTTTTTAAATAACTTATTGTGAAGTTATTCTAAAGTATTTAAAATCATGCAATTAAATTTGATCGAAACTCCGTTTGATGTTTAGCAGATATTGCAAAGAAATAAGGGGGGTTTGCATAGTGACAAAATATGCTGACAGAGCTGTGTGTGAAAACACATACAAATATTCATGCTTGTCTGGAATACAGACAGCAGAAAAACAAGTATTATAATAGAAAATGCAGCAAGATTTGTCAGCAGCAATATGCATGTCCTGATAACTCTGCATAGAGGATACAGCCCACTGCCCATCTTATCGCTGCAACTACGTAAGATCCTGTTCACTTTCAGGAGCCAATTAACTAAGGTAAGTTTCATTTTGGAGGCAGCAATGAAGATTATGCTGAATGAATTTAAAAAAAAATGTAGACTAGAAATATAATTAAAGGGATTCTTCAACACATGCTGACTCTCATTTTTCAAGAGACAGCATTTTCTTTTAATTTCTAGCACTGAATACATAAATTTATTTCAAGACCAACCCATGAGGCTTGAATCTAATCAAGATTTAAAGTCTTTGGGCCTGAGGACTGTGCTCTCTCAAAAATTATTTGATGCGAAATTATTCAGGAGCTACCCTAACTGCTTTCAGAGACAAGAGATTCAGACTGTATTCTGTCTTTCAGGAATTTTAACTGAAGCTTAAGGGCCTTTGGATCCTCCTCATTCAACCTACCCAATGCATAAGTAAAGGCACCTTCAAACGTACTCTTCCAAATCAAAATTTTTTATCATTGGACATAAAAGATAAAATTGCAGAAGCCTACATTTGCCTGCTTCCTGTCAAGTGAGCTTTCTCCACTTGAGCTTCCAACCTTTCAGTCCACAGAGGAGTGTTTCTGCGACATAAGAAAGAGGTGCAGCTTTTCTCCTTCTCTGGGGTGCCAGCACATCAGTTCCCTGCATATTTTCAGCTCCTTTAGTCTGAGAGGGTTAAAAAGGAAAATTATCCTGAAGTCTCTTGACGTACTGAAAGGCAAGTTTCCTTTTAATTCCTCTGCTTGTTTATCTGGCAGACTGAACTCCAAATAGTTGCCATATAAACTGGCTGAAAAGACCCCTCAAAAATAAAATCTATTCCAAGAAGAAAATAAACATCGATAAAGCATTACAGAATTATTTTACAAATAATTTTCTGATTATTTCTAAACTCTGTGTATTTGCTTCAGATGCATTTAGTTTTATTTTTTCCTTCATATAATTCAGTTGCAAAAGTATTAAATGATATGAGCAAGTGTTCTGACTTCTGGCATGCAAAACATTTCTTCTAGTTTCCCCTAAAGTTCAGAAATACTCAAGCATGATATCATTTCTACAGATGTAGTCAATCATATTCATAGTATTTTCAAAAATTACCTCTACCTTTAAATTAATTGAATATGCAATAATATATATTTGTAAAATGTAGATTTATCTATTTATCCATCCATCCATCTATAAATATATTTTGTTAGCCACATTTTCAATGAAGGGGTGAAACACAGGTCATGTTGTCAGTACAAGAGTTACATGAGAAAAGAGCCTCCCAAAATTTTTTATGGAATCTAAATTCACATGAACTGATTAAAAAAAAAAAAGTCATAGAATTCATTAGTTTTGCTCACAAGTAGAAAAACTATTGCTATTTTATTTCTTCACGACAAAGCATACTGATGTAATACAATATCTTAATTGTTTTTTACCTGCACAGCCACTAGCAATATTAGCTTCAAGTATACATGAGTTTTTAGCTTTAAAAGTAACACATATATTCCACACAGGATACTGGTCTGAATTACGTAGGCACAGCATGGGTACCTTTGAACTTCGGGCCTTTGAGGGCTGTATTTAGCATATGGATTTATCTTCCACATGCAATTAACTAAGTTCAGACGGCATTCCTGCAAAATTCCTTACTCTCCTGATCAATGAGAGAATAAAAACACTGAGCCTATATTTCCAACATTATCAAAGAGGAAAGCAACATATTCCTAAAGTTTTTATCCTTGTAGGCAAATGAAATACTAAGGAATTGACTATGGACAAAAAACAGATTCACATATAGATGTCAGACAGGTACAGCAAGCCAATAGACCTTCGGCATAACTATATGTTGGAAAAGATAAATTTGAGAACAAGCATTTCTCTGTTTGCAGCCCCAGAACCATTAGAATATCCCTTCTGCCTGGCTATGCTTCCAAAATGTCTAAACTGCTCTGGCAGATCTACAGTTTTCTCATTAATTCAGAGATAGATATTTTGGTGCTACTAAGCTAAACAGATCTTGCAGTAACCAAAAAGTTTCTTTATCAAAATGTTACTGAGGAGTACCTGACCTTCAAGGGAAAGATCTTTTGCTACATAATAGAAAAAAACCCCCAAACATACAGAAACCCTTTTATTTTAAGGTTGACATTACTAACATATTCTATTTAACATATTACCCTATGACAAGAGGAAAATTCCTTGCCATCTAAATGGTCACACTAATGGTGATGTGTTGTCTGACAATAATGACGTTTTTGAATTGGGCAGAGCAAGAGCTGAACAACCGCAGTATTTCCTGCAGACAGTGGGTGTTCACATAACTCCATAGGCAGCGGTGCTGATGGCTATTGCAAATACAATCAGTGATGTTCTGGGTTTCCTTACTTTGAGGAAACTTTAAAAGCAAGTGCTATATTAAAGAATCCATGAATATTGACTATACACATGTTTTGACATACCATACTAACACTACAATTAGTTCCTTTAAGCCTGAACAGACAGCCTTTAGCTCCAGTCACAGAAAGGTACAGCGTTGTCAAAGCTTGCCCTTGACCTAAGCAGAAGTCACAGACTGAAAGACACAAACGCATGACACAAGAGAAGAAACCAGCCAACAACAGGAGAGTGCACTCTGTGCCTCCCCCGGCACCCACTGCCAAAGCACGCTGCTGGCACAGGTATGCCTGGAGATCACAAAAATAATTTCTTCCCAAGGAAGCGAGACTTTTTGACCTTTTCAAGATACTCATATACTGAAATAACAGTGCAACACCAACCCAAATTAAAGATGCTATTAATATCTCTAAATATGCCACTTATTACTAGAACATGGGAAATGACTCATTTGACTAATAACGCTCCACTGTGGATCAGCTAACTGACAGTATTAGCAGTACTTAAAAAGATTATTAAAATAGCCTGAATGCTTTAACATTTTTACAGCACACAGCAAGCAAAGGAAGAAGAAACTCAAATGGAACATAACCTAATCCAAGGAGAGAAAATACCTGGGACTAGCAATACATACTAGAATTTATTTTTTCACAAAAAGCTCTGTGAGATGTTTTCTCTACACTCACTGCTCTCCAGCACTATCATACTACATTTAGAGCTGCTTTAAAATGTGAGGAAGGACTGAAAATTTCAAATTGTCAAGTTAACAAACACTAGGGATGCTAATGGAAAATTTTTAATATCATAAGGAAACCAGTAATTATCAGATTTCTTAGTAAAAGATATTCCATACAAAGTTCACATTATAGTAATTGCTATTTTGAGAGAAAGTTTCTGAGCAGAAAATCAGATGTCATACAATACAAATCAATTAATGGAAAATACCAATAGATTTGCCAGTGTTTTCAAATATTTGCTGGAAGCTGTTTATTGACTGAAGATGCATCATTAATGCAACTGCAATTCATCATTAATAATACAAACAAAATAAACCAATCCATCTAGAAATTTAAAGCTTCATGCAATTGATTATTATTTAAGATTACTGGAAATTAAACTTCCTTTAATACAAACACATTTGAAGTAGTCTCTAGATGCATCCTGCATTTTAGCTAATTCTGTGCTATGCATAGAGAAGAAGAATCTATTTTAATGTAGATTTCTATTTTTTTCAACTCTGGTCATCAAGTTTATCCTAACTTATGATTTCTTATACCTACTCAAGAGTCATCAGGGTGTCTTGAAAAGATATTATGATATTACAAAAAAAAACAATACACCCAGAGTTTATGCAACTTTTTTTATCTTTTTTTTTAATATTTAATTTCAGAGAAAAAGCTTTAAAACTTTCAGTACGCACCATCAAAATTTGATTTCTCTTTAAAATAGAAAACAACATGCTCAATATAGACAAATTAAAGTAGGATACAGGCCATTTTTATTTTAAGACTAAAAAACTGTCTTCCGTACTGTGTCTCAAGAAGAAAAAACAAAGAACCCAAAACACCATAAAGAAAAGCCCCAAACAAAAAAGACCTCCAACCCAAACCTAAGACTCAGCCATCCCCACCAAACCTTCAGTTCTGTCTGACCTAAAGAAAAATAACTTTCCATTACCGTTGAGTGCTCTGTTAACTCAGTCATCATTTGTGGGTAGTCCTACAGTTTTCATTCCTGACAATGACATAAGGCAGATAATAAAATGATGTGTCACATTGGCTGCTAGCTGCATAATATATCTTTAAAATTGACCAGATACTGTTTTACTTGACTATGTATGTGAAATGCAGTTGGATATAATTTACTTCCCCTTGGGGATCTGTAAAGATTACTAACACCCACGATTTTGTTGTGACATTTGTTTCATGTTTGGCTGTCTCTTTGAAAGCTGGAGAGATATTGCAGAAAAAAATAAGAGTCATGCCTTAAGGATGTTGCCATGGTGAATTTAGTTGCATATTCACTGTGTGAGAAGACAGAATACTAGACAAATGAGAATGTTAACTTTCATAGTTGGTTAAACGTTTGTGTTTGACATTGTTGAGGTTCTCAGCTAAGAGTCTGGTTCCAATTTGTAGAAGTGATGTAGGTCCAAACTTCTTAGCTGTGGATCCCTGCAGGTGCTATATTTTGAACCAAACAATACCCAGAGAAGCACAATCCCAGACATCTTGGATCAGGCAAATAAAACAGTAACCCATTTGCCTCAGTTCTAGACTTCCTACTACTCATAATCCAGGTTTTTTTGTGCTTTTTGTGATAAAACTATCTTTAAATGAGGATAATGATATCAATACAATTTCACAGTAGTATTGGTGACAGGTTTATTAATATTTAAATGTTTGGATTGTGTAATGATAATTTAGAATACTCACAAGGATATAAATTGTTTTATTTGAACAGAAATTGAATGACATGCAAAGCAGGTACAGGGACTGTGCACAAAGAATGAACAGGAGAGGGGAAAAGAAGGTTAAATAGAGACCAGGAAGAAAGCCTTCACAACAACACCTCTTAGTTCCTGAAATCTAAATGTGATGACCTTCACAAGGCTACTTGAACACTGCTTTCGTGTATTATATTATATAATCTTGGTTTATTTATGATTTATACAATGTCTATATGCACACATACATTCCCCAACAAACACACCCTCGCGTTAACATTTTGTAGTGCGTATTTTATTATTTCTGTTTCACTTACACCTGGAATACTTTGTTTTATGCATCTGCCACGTACAAGATGAACAGCAGATTACAATGCACTGTACTATCACAGCACTTAAAGCACGTTGTGGTGGTTTAAGTGCTGTTTAAGTTTAAGTTTAAGCCCCGGGGGGGGCTGGAAGTGGTTGGTCCCAGGTGAGTTTCCGATCAGGGACCAATCGGAGCTGTATTTCGCCCCTGTGAAATTAGCATATTACAACAGCTGGAAGGAAGTTGTTGGCAGTGTGAGAGATTTGGAGCCATGAGGTGAGAGAGGCCTGCAGGCCCCTTGTGGGGGGCCAGGCCCTCTCTCCCCTCCCCGGCCGGGCTGCAAGGAACCTGGGACAGTACCGAAACTGAACCAGGTGCTTGTGGCCAAAGGCTAGGGGGCTTTCCCCCCCACACCGCCCAGGAGAGGTGGTGGTGTGGACTTGAGAGGCCAGCCAGGGGGTTGGAGCTAACCCACCCCCAGCAGGCAGGCACGGCCTTTGGAGCTGAGCCAGAGACAGGCCGAGGGGTGGTCCAGAGCCAGAGAAGCAGCTGCGATCGTACAGAGCAGGAAGAACTCCAGGCAGAGGAGAGAGACCGAAGCAGTCTCACTGCTACCCTCTCCCCCCCTAAAATGGCAGGGGAGAGGGTGTGACCTTGAGCTGAGACTGAGCAACGGAGAGACGGACTGAAGGGCTCGGAGGAGGCCCTACGCGAGGTTTGGGTGGGGGCAGGTGAAAACCGAAGGAGGAATGCGAGGGGAGGAATGCCCCCCCGTAACACGTGGAAGCTGAGAAGCTGCAGCAGCTGGAGCAGAGAGAAGCCAAACCAAGCAGGCTTTTTCTGGGTAAGGACTTTTGGTGAAAACTATTTGGGGTGTAAAAAACTGAGCAAGACCCAGAAACGCTGCAATCTGGAAAGAGTGAACATCTTACTGTCTGGGAGGAACCTTCACAAACCAGGGAAAAAGGACTCAAAGCTGACTCCCTGGACCTCGTGATGAAGATCTAGTAAAGCAACTGTTCCTTTGCAGTTCAGGAGGAGACCTCAGCACAAGCCAAGGAGCTGGTGGGGGTGCAAAAGACCCCTTCCCTGATACCCCAATGAAAGAGAGACTAACTATCCTCCTGGAGGGTTATCCCACATCTGTACTGATGTGGGAGGAGCACCAGGGGTGGTAGAGATTGTATTAATACTGTGTATTTATTTGCTTTTTAGTTTCTATAGTATTTATCATGTTAGTAATAAATTTTGATATAATTCCCCCAAGCTGAGTTGTGCCTGTCTGAAAACTTCTCTTCTGTGTTGAGGCAAATTGTGGGGAGAGCCTGGAGACTGGATTTTTGGGGTCAAACCTCCACACACGTTTTTATACAACACTGCATTAGGAGTATACAGTGCAGAAGAAGTACAAATTGGTGGAGTATAAGTGTGCCTGTAAGAAGCCTTTACTGTTACCATTTTCCCTCCTTCAGCTCACCTCAAGCTGATGCTGCCATTGCTGCATTCAGTTTCTCAAAGCAATCCAGACAGGACAGCTTACCACAACATCAGTTTTACTTTAATCCTTGCCTGGCCTATTTGTGACTTACTGACATGTATAATGTCAAATATGATAAAGCTGATTTTGGAAGGTGCCTTTAGGCATAACTATAATACAAAAAAATAAATTTACAAAAAAAAATACAAATATAATACAAAATCTCCATTCTTGATGAAGAGAGGTCAGAGTTCTTGATAAATCCATTGGGGCTTTGCATATACGAATATCAAATCAATTCCCCTCCTTTACTAAAAAAAAAAGAAAAGCTTTTTTTTTATGTCTTTCCTTTTAACAACAACATCAAAGAACTAAGGAAAACAAATTCTGCATTAGGAGGTTCTGTCGAAAAACATTTCACTTCAAACAAGGCACCACACAGAGCTGACAAGATGAGAGATTTAAATGCTAATTAGCATCAATTTCTTTATTGAATTATAATTTCAAGAAAATGTTGTGTGACCCTCTGATTTAAATACTGTTTTCCCTTCAAACATTTCATTGCCAAAATGGGTTCTTGGATTTATAGGCATGGATCATACATTTTGAAAGTTTGATTCTTACAGATTAGCTCGTTTCCACATTCATAACCAAAGGCTGTGAGGACTGTATTAATTGCAGTATGCATATTAAAGACCAGAACTATTACAGAGTATGCAAGGCACTATCTCTATATCACATTTCTGTGTGAGAAACAACTTCTTTATGCATGCTGAGTGGGCAATACAAAAGACATACTTGTTACTCTACAAGTCCCACCTGATGGGCAGGCAAATACGCTTCTGGACTCCAAACCTCTCCAAGAAGGCTCTACAGTAATGATAAAACTGTATATAAGTGGCTTCTCTTTCACACAGTCACCCATTTGCCTCAGTGATCACACAGATTTAGAGATCTGCAAAACCATTACAGGTTAATTCACACCTACCTCATGTAAATCCTCTCTTTTAATATTCATGTGTGAAACATAGATTTCATAGGTGAATGAACTGAAGGAGAAGTGGGAGCTATGCGTGCTTCTTTTTGTACAGTTTTCCCACATGTAACAAGAAAAGAGATTTACACAAGGGAGATGAAAACTGACCTAAAACAATTTCCTGATAGGGGGTCATACACTAAGTGAATGCTGAAGTCTCAATTAATAAGGACTTTAAGGTGTGTTGTGACTGAAATACCAAAACATCAGAAGGACACCCAGAGGACTAGCTTACCTCTTTCCTAATGAGATATCCTTGACAAAGAAGAAATAAGGTGATACAGGCAGTCTATATATAATTTATAAATTCTTGGGACCATTAGGATGTTGACACATATTTGCTCTAAGGAGGAGCGTGTGGGAAAGGGAACTGTAACACATCTCTGTGGGAAGCAGGCTCAGGTGAAGTGGTTATCTCTCGACATTGCTGCCCTGACCCAAGGGCAGGCAGGCTAAGCAAGCTACCTCAGTGGGCACCAAGTTTGTCTAAGCCTTTGTGCAAAGGAGTGCTGAAGTGGTCAATGAAGTCACAATAACAATAGATGAACCAAGCCCCTAAAGAGCATAGGCACAATACAGAAAGTGAAAAACCTGCTTTCTTAGCAGGTGGAGTCCTGTTTAAGTACAGCGTCAAACAAAGGGGGAAAGCAAGTGGGTTTGAAACAGGATTTTGAAGGACCTTGAGGCAACTGAGAAAGCACACTAAAGGGATTCCCACTTTTGTATTTCCTGTGCAAGCTATGAAAAATTTACATTCTAATCCTATGCAACATAAACATATCTATAAATTATACCCTACTATTCAACTCTGAACAGATAAACTGTCAGTACAGAGAATTCAGGGGGCAGACTACAAGAGCATGTAAATGATTCCAAGGTTAGTCAGAAAGCACAGCTCTCATTAAGGGAAGGCAAGAACCTGTACTCAGCAAGCATGCAAGGAAAGAGAAGCAAAGAAGGAGAATTCTGTCCCTTCATAGGCCAGGAGAAAATCTGGAGCACAATAGTGCAGTAGTTGAAGATCCAAACCAACAAACTAATGGTGTGGAGTTACCACAGGATTGAGAGAATTTCTAAACTTTGAAAGCACAACAGAGTGACTCTGCCAGGAAACAGTAGCAACTGGACTAAAAAAATCAAAGGCATAGTTATAACTAGCTTTCAAAACATATACAACCTGTTTTTCTGCAAGAATACTGGGCCAAATTTATATCTCAATGGCTTTCAGAAAATGAAAACTAACAAATACAGCATAAACCAGAAACCAGAATATAAGGTCCTTGTTGACCTTCCTGTGTACGAAAGTGAGTATTTAAAGTTTATGGAAGGAAGTAAATGGGGGATTTACTAGGTAAATTTCCAGTGCAGAAAATTAACTTTCAACATAAAACACTTCATATATTTCATACATACTAGGCAGCAAATTCTGAGCTGAATTACACCACCACACCCTAGTTTGTTTATTCAGAGGCACTAGAATATCTCCCCATATTGATATTCAGAGTAAGATTCATAAAGAGTCATGGGGATTGCTGTCCCTTCCCTACTCCACTTGCCTTACCAGTTGGTATTGTTACGTGCTCGATGCTCAACATCTTTTAATCACAGAACGGCTGTTTTCTACCATGTGTAGAAGGTGTGCCTGGCTTTTTAAACTAGTGATCTGCAAAACCAATTAGAACACTATTTACCAGATCACACAAAATACTCAAATGATACAGCATATCTATGCAAAGCACAGGCCTCAGAGGTAAAAGGATTATTTCAAATTAAACAATCACGATTCTTTCTCTGAAACTTATACAGACACTACTGTGTTGTGTGTTAGAATATTGAAAGCCTAGCTCAGTACTTTGGTTATAATAAGCTTTAGGACATCTCAAGAGATGCATCTGTGACTTGTTTCAAAATATTCAAGTTTTATTTTGCTGAATAATACCATGGTTTTGTCCTCTGTTTTATTAGGGGGCAATGAGAAAAAAAAAAAAAAAACAAGCCAAAGAAAAATTATTTGAATAAGTTAAAGCACAAAAAAATAGTTAAAGAAACAAATCAGCTGGCATAATGCCACAGTTATTGCAGAGGACTTGTCCTTCTGAAATGATCATAGATGTCTAGACTTACAAGGAGGCCTATTATTAAAAAAAAAAAAAAAGACAGGATGTGTTGGTTTAGGCTGAGGGAGAGTTAATTTTCTTCATAGCAGCTTATATGGGGCTGTGCTAGGAAAAACACTTATTTCATTATTGCTGAGCAGGGCTTACAGAGAGTCAAGGCCTTTTCTGCCTCTCACTCCAGCCCACCAGTGAGTGGGCTGGGGGTGCACAAGAATTTTGGAGAGGGCACTGCTGGGATAGCTAGCTGACCAAGACTAACTCAAGGGATATTCTGTACAACATAGAATAGTTTGGGTTGGAAGTGACCTTAAAGTTCATCTTGTTTTATCCCTCTACAATGGGCAGAGACAACTTCCACTAGACTAGGTTGCCTGAAGACCCATCCAGCACAAGGCCTGGAACACTTTCAGGGATGGGGCATCCACAACTTCTCTGGGCAACCAACTACCCTCATGGTGAAGCATTTCTTCCTCATATCTAATCTAAACCTATCCTCCTTCAGTGTGAAGCCATTCGCTCTTCTTCAATCACTACATGTCCTTGTGAAAAGTCCCTCTCCATCCTTCTTTTAAGCCCCCTTTACTGGAAGGCTGCTGTAAGGTCTCCCTGGAGCCTTCTCTACTCCAGAACGAACAGCCCAAACTCTCTCAGCTGTTCTTCATGTGAGAGGTGTGCTAGCTCCCAGATCATCCTTGTGTCTCTTCTCTAAGCCCACTCCAATAGGTCCATGTCTTTCTTATGTTTGGGGCCAACAGAGCTGGATGCAGTACTCCAGGTGAGTACTCACATGAGCAGAGTAGGACAGAATCAGCTACCTCAGCCTGCTGGCCACGTTTCTTTTGATGCAGCCCAGGATGTGGTTGGCCTTCTGGGCTGCAAATGCACATTGCCAGGTCATACTGAGCTTCTTGTCAACCAACACCCCAAAGTCCTCCTTCTTCAAGAGGACTGTAGGGGAAGGCTGAAGAAGAAGAAAGGGGGACATTTGTAGTTATGGCATTTGTCTTCCCAAGTCACTGTTATCTGTGATAGAGCCCTGCTTTCCTGGAGGTGGTTGAACACCTACCTGCTTGTCATGGGAATGAATTCCTTCCTTTGCTTCTCTTGTGTGTGTGGCATTTGCTTTACCTGTTAACTTGTGGGCTGAGATAAAGACAGTTTTGCTCATTTTTACTCTTCTGATTCTCTCCCTCCATCCCACTCAGGGGGAAGAGTGAGTGCCTGTGTTGGGCTTAGTTGCCAGCTGGGATTGAACTACAACATGGCCTTCATGCATTTAAACTATTTAACTGACTATTGAAGTGTATGCTGGAAAGGCAAAGCTGTGGTAGCAAAATCAGCTTGATTTTAAAACACATTCAGAGCTCCACCCTGCTCTGGTATTTCAGGGAAGGGGAAAAAAACAATCCCAAACATCTCTCTGCATGGGTCTTATAGAGAGTGATTTTATGTGTTGGGGATCGCCGAGACAAATAAGCAGATAAATGCAGGCATTTATCCCATATGAAGTTAAATAGTGTGGAATTATGTTCAATTTTCACTGAATCTCTAACAAATTTGAAGGCTAAAGTTGCCCGGTTTATCCCAGAGTATCCCAAAATAACAGTATTATCATTTAGTGAGCAAGAACTCAGTAACCTAGGAAATGTTCGTACCATGTCCTCATGGAGTCATACCACATTTTGATGAAATTAACGTGGAAAGTTAGTACCACATTTTCTTTTACTTTCTAAAGCTAGTTTATATCCTCACAGAGTATAAAGCCCAATATTCTAGCACTAAATGACAACCAAAACATTCCAGAAAGATGACTTTTTCCTCTACTACAAAGTGGTGTAGTTCACTGTCATATTACTTTCCTTGTGCCACAGAAATGGATGGTGAGAGACTGTATGTCATCGTGGATGGAAGAGACAGGTCATACTGTTAACAGGGTAAAGTGAAGCCAGTGTTGCCAATTCTCAGCATCCAGGATTGTAGATGAATAAGAAGGCTCAGCTATGCACACATAATTCCCTGATTCTTTAGTTCCCTCCACAGGCATACAAATCAGGTGAAAATTTCTTAGAATTACTGCAGTTTTGCTGATTCTTAAGATTGCTTTTGTGGTACTATAAAGCTTATGTGGCCTGCTGAGTAGAAACACTTGCAGTTATTTTTTGAGTTTGATGGGTGTGCTTTTTTGCTGTTTGGTTGTGGGTTTGTTGGCTTTTTTTTGTTTGTTTGTTTTTTGTTTGGTTTGTTTTTTTCAGTTTTAGGAAATACAGTCATCCATACAACAGAAGTAATTTGATTTAACCCAAAGGATAGTAAGCATAAGGAATGTATCAAGAACTTGTACTTTTACAACTTCCAATACAAGTAAATGAACACTTTATGTGGTATTTTGCTTTCATATGTTAATTCCAGATTTACAGTTGATACCATATATTTGAAACTCAAATAAGGCATAAAAAGGTTAAAAATACAGACTCCGCTGAATAAAAGCCAACATATCTTTCTAGTTAGGCTACATGAGATAATAAAAAAAATTGACATCAAAGAAACTACCTCATTCAGGCCTTTCAAAATACTTGTCATTAAAAGATGGTTTGTTGAAACTTCAGACAGGCTAAATGTATGCCACATTTTGAGTGAAAGAATTACCTTTCCAGGGTTGCAATTACAATTGTACTTAGTTGTCATGGCAACCTGGCAACATATAGATGTTGTCAGATGAAGACATCAAGGGACAGACAGTGATTTTCAAATCACCGCATGCCAAGTGTTTTTTTTTCCCCAGGTATATCTCTTCTGAGTTCAGAAAAAAGATTAAAAAATGGAAAATTAGCATTTTAAAACAATGTTTAAATAGCATTCAGACTGCAATACCAATATCCCATTTCAAAGAGCTATTAATAGTATTCTTAGGTGTCTGCTTTTTCTTCTTTCCTCCCCCTTTTCTTTTTTTCAGTTATTTTTGTTCCCAAAATGTAAGTACAACACAGGGAACTGAAAGGCAAAGAGGTCAGGCTCAACATGCTTTGGTGACTGCTGAGTCCTGCTGTTATCCTCCCCCTTTTCTTCCTGTTTTAATTGTCCTGCTATCTTTACTTGGGTACTTTCAGTCAGATGTTCTTTTTGACCTAAACTTCAATTCCTTTTGAGACAGCAAAAGGAAAAATGAATCTATACTAAAAGCCCCTGTTGAGCATGCCCCAAAGATGTGAAGTTCTGCAACTACTCCAGCTGTGATCTATTCGTAAAGGTTGAGAGAGAATCCAGAAAATATCCACTACAAAATGCAGCTTTCAGTTCTTTCCAATAGGCAGCTCATCCTGTGGTGCTTTCCTCTATACTGCTATTTTTGTTTC